TGGTTGATGTTCAACCATTTCAAGAGATAGCATATGATCAAGACCCAATGATATTTAGGGAGGAAGTCCAAGGTGCATTGAAGGAATTGACAAAGAATAAGGCTTCAGGAATTGATGAAATAATAATTGAAATCTTTCAAGAAAGTGAGGCACTCACTCATTTATGCCAAGAAATTTGGAAGACAACTATCTGGCCTACTGATTGGAAGAGAAATAGTTGTAAGCATCCATTAATAATCAGTAAGCATCCATTAATAATCAGTGTAAAAAGTATGAATCTAGGAAAACTCGAAGTTGTCAAAACAAAAATGGAATGCATAAACATCAATATCCTAGGCATTAGTAAGTTGCAATGGGCTAGTATTGGCCAATTTGCATCAGATGATCTTACGGTTTACTATGCCAGAGACAACAAATTCAAGAGTAAAGGAGTTGCATGCATTGTCAAAAGAACATTTCAAGATCTATCTTGAAGTACAACGCTGTCTGTGATAGAATAATATCCATACCTACAAGGAAGATCATGTGATAGAATAATATCCATATCTACAAGGAAGATCAGTTAATACTATTATTTTTCTAATTTACATACCAACCACTAAAACTAGCAATGAAATTGAAGAATTCTATTAATTTCTCTAGTATGAAATTGATCCGATATGCAATTAAGAATCACTGATAATTACTGGCAATTGGAATGCGAAGGTTGGAAACAAACAGGAAGGACAGTAATTGAAAAATATGGCCTTGGTGATAGAAATGGTACTCGAGATCACATGATAGAATTTTGCAAGACCAACAACTTACTCATTCCAAATCCTTTTTTTTATTTTTTTTCCGAACAACACATGTGGACCTCACCAAATGGAATATATAGGAATCAAATTGACTACATCTGTGAGAAGAGACAGTGGAAAAACATGTCATTAACCAAAATAAGGTCAGGGCAGACTGTGGAAGAGATAGTCAATTGATCATATGCAAGTTCTGACTGAAGCTGAAGAAAATTAAAACAAGTTCACAAGGGCCAAAATATATTGCACCTGAGTTTAGAGACAATCTCAATGCATTAGACACTAACGATCAAAGAACAAAGGAGTTATGGGATGACATCAAGAACATCATACAGGAAGAAAGCAAAAGAACATTAAAAAGTAAAAGAGAAAACAAAATGTGTCAGAAGAGAGTCTGAAACTTGTTTTGAGCATAGTGAAACTAAAATAAATGGAAGACATAAATGCAAGAGTTGAATGTAAAATGTCAACTGGCAGCTAAAGAAGACAAAGTCAAGTGTTATAATAAAATATTCAAAGACCTGGAGCTAGAAAATCAAAAGGGAAAAACACATTCAGCATTTCTGAAGCTAAAAGAATTGAAGAAAAAATTCAAGCCTTGACTTATTATATTGTAGGTTTCTATGGACAAGTGAGTGAGTGATGCAGAGAACATCAAAAGAAGATGGAAAGAACACAAAGAGTTACTATACCAAAAATAAATGGGCTATGTTCATCCATTTCAAGAGGATGCATATGATCAAACACCAATGGTACTGAAGGAAGAAGTCAAAGCAGCACTGAAAGCATGGGCCAAAATAAAACAACCAAGACTCCCAGAATTAATGGACTATAAAGTGAAATCTTTCAATAAACTGATGGAGCACTGGAAATGTTCACTCATCTATGCCAAGCAATTTGGAAGACAGTAATTTAGAGAAGAGATCCTTATTTGTGCCCATTCCAAAGGGAAGTGACCTAATGGAATGCAGAAATCATCAAATATCATCATCAATATCACATGCAAGTAAAATTTTGCTGAAGATAATTCAAAACTAGCAGCTACAGTACACTGACAAGGAGCTGCCAGAAATTCAAACTGGATTCTTAAGAGCATATGCAACTAAGGATATCACTGCTGACGTTAGATGAATCTTGGCTGAAAGCAGAGAAGATTAGAAAGATGTTTACCGTGCTTCATGAAAAAAGATGAATAACATTGAGAAGAATAAATATTCCAGAACATTTCATCGTGCTTATGAGGAACCAGTACATAAACCAAGAGGCAGTTGTTCAAACAGAACAATGCAACACCGAATGGTTTAAAATCAGCAAAGATATATACAAGGGTTGTTTCCTTGCACCATGCTTACTTAGCAAATAATGTGAGAAACTGGACTATATGAAGAAGGTGGCAATAAGATTGGAGGATGTGCACATGACACAACCTTGATTGCTGGAAGCCTAGAGGATTTAAAATACTGATGGAGATCAAAGACTACAGCATTCAGTATGGGCTGCACCTCAATGTAAACAAAAATCCTCACCATGGGACTAATAAGTAACATCATGATAAATGGAAAAAAAGATTGAAGTTGTAAAAGACTTCATTTTGCTTGGATACACAATCAACACTCATGGAAGCAGCGGTGAAGTAGTAAAACAATGCATTTCTGGGCAAATCTTCTACACAAGACTTCTTTAAAGTATTCAAGAGCAAAGATACCAGTTTGAGGAATAAGCTGCACCTGACCCAAGCCATGGTATTTTCAATGTTTTTTCAAAAATTAAGAAAGACCACAGAAGAATTGGTACATTTGAATTATGGTGTTAGAGAAGAATATTAAAAGTACCATGACTGCTAGGAGAGACAGGTTCCTGGAGAAGGGCATTACACTTGGTAAAGTGGAGGGTCGCAGAAAAAGCAGAAGGCCCTCAAGGAGATGTTCTGACACAGTGGCAGCAACAATGGGCTCAAGCATAACAACAATTGTGAGGATGTCGAAGGACCAGGCAATGTTTCATTCTGCATAGGGTTGCTATCAGTTGTACCAACACGATGACACCTGACAACAAAAACAATTCACAGGACGACACTTTATGACACTCCTTTCTTCCCCAGAGCTACTACTTTGGAAATGCTATTGCATTCTCCTTGGAATGACTTTTCCTTGGAATCTCGGTTCACACATGTTAAAACCCCAATGTAGACGAGTGCAAGTCCAAGTCTTCCCCCTCTTCACCTGCTCAGATTATTCCACGCTTATTCCTGAAGATGGGTCTAATGAAGGGTCAGAAGGCCCACACGGATGAAAGATGGTGAAGTGCATGCCAGACGCTGACGGTGCCTTGTACTCACAGGCAATCTCTTTTTTTCTTTTTAGCTTCTACACCCAACAGTGGGGAGTGAAAGGCACAAACCCTTGGCTCTTCTCAGCTCTAGCCCTCATCTCCTCTCTCGGCTTTGGGGGCTCTATTTCATGGGAGTGGTCAATTTTAAGGTTTAAGATTTGAGTTTAGCAAAAGGTGGGAAAGGAGTACATTACAGTCTAGCCCAGGTTTCTAGAATTATACTCTGGAATTTCGGGACAAATCCTTAGCTAATAATAAAGTATCACTGCTTTCATTTCAAAAGCAAATGTTTCCCTCAGGCAGAATTTTGTATTCCAGAGTTCCCTAGACAAATTAACATATTAATTTCACATTATTAGTTCTCCACTTTGGCTCCCAATGTTGTTTTCTATCACTGAGGCACTCCGACTCATAGCAACCCCGCCGGACGAATAGAATTACCCATCAATTTTCCAGGGCTGTAATCTTTACAAAAGCAGACTGCCACATCTTCCTCCAGAGGAGTAGCTGGTAAGATCAAACTACTGACCTTTGGTTAAAAGCTGACCACTTAACCACTGCACCACTATGGTACTAAACAACAACAACAACTTTTCCATTTAATTCCCAATAACCTGGTGCCATTGAGTCGATGCTATAGCATCTCTATACAAGGTTTCAAGATTGTAAACCTTCCAAGACAGCCTCAGAGCAGCCAGTGGGCTTGAACCATCAATTTTGTGGTAAGCAGTCTAGTGCTTATCTTACAGCACGCGCTAACGTGCTAATGGCTAATGTCATCAGCTCCTTTCACCACTAGGGCTCAATCTGACTCCCAATTATTGTTGTTGAGTGCTACGCAGACAGTTCCAACTCATAGAGACTCTAATTAGGGTTTTCGAGAGCAACTGATGGGTTTGAACTGTGGGCCTTCCAGTTACCAGTGCCAGATACCTCATGAAACCTTTCCCAACCTGTGCTTCTAAAGGACACACCTTTTCTATCTTATATATCAGCTCTTTCCTATTTGTCTACTTCATGCCTTACTCCTTTCTGAACAGTACACAGAAGGTACTCAATACACATTTACTGAATTTGATTGAAACATACGTCACAGGTCAGACAGTGCACACAGTAGGAGTCAAAGAAATTACATATCAACAATGTTTCCTATTTGGAAAAATTATTTTCAGTATAACACAAGTCCCCTAACCATGCCCTCAGGAGAAAGACATTTAGTCACAGACCAAAAGAGCTTTCAGAATACTCCTCAAACTTCCAAACATTCTATCTGATTTCTGGGACATATTTATAATATATCTAATATATAAAAGGAGCTCTGGTAGTGTAGTGGTTACGAATCGGGCTGCGAATCTTAAGGTCAGCGGTTCGAAACTACCAGCTGCTCCGCGGGAGAAAGATGAGGCTTTCTACTCCCGTAAAGATTTACACCCTCGGAAACCCTATACAGGGTCGCTATGGGTCGGAACCGACTCGATGGCACATAACAACAACAACAACAATATATATGAGCTCCTAAAACGTTTATTGGGAGTCCTGGTGTGGCGCTGTAGGTTAATGTGCCAGATTGCAAAGCCATTTGAACTTCAAGGTCGGTGGTTCAAGCTCACCAGCTGCTCCTTGGAAACCCTATCTATACAGGGTCGCTATGGGTCAGAACCGACTCGATGGCACTTCACAATAGCAACAACAAAAATGTTTATCAGTGAAACTAAAATCAACCTTGGAAAGCAATGCAGAAATTAAATTCATTTTCTTAATGATTTTCTTCCCCAGAACTTTGGCTCTTACTTAACTCATATGATCGAAGCAAAATTAAACATATGTAACAGAGAGAGGTTTTTGTTTTTCAAAGGGAACAAACTGCTGACTCACCTCAGAATGAGTTGTAACATCACATCTTCACAATGTAAACCGATGAGAGTTCTGAACAATGCCAGGGACACCACACAAAGCTGGGGAGCAATGAACACATATATTCTATTTCAAAGACTGGAATGACAAGCTGACCTTAAGGATCAATTAGATTTACAACAGGAAATGGCCTCTCACTTGTTTTTGTTTCGTTTCATTTTGTTTTTAAGCAATTTTGATAAAAAAGCATGATGCTGTCAGAGAGAATGTATATGAAGTCGATCATTTCTCCTATAGGATTTGATTAGAAAGCCTATGCCTGGAATTACGCTACTGCGCAGAATAAATTTTCTACAAAACGCACATGCTACTATTTTCAATTTTTAAAATGTAAATATATGTGTCCTCCAACTTCCTAAAATGATGGTGGGAGTGGGGGGATTAAAGGGGTGAGGGGCGCTGAGAGAGAGCAAAGGGTGGGGGAGGGAAAAGAGAGTGAGCGGAAAAGAGGAGGAGGAGACCAAGGGGGAGAGAGGAAAGAGGGGTCACCTGCTTATCTCATTTGTTTTAAGACATTATTTTCAAATATAACATTGAATATTTACAAGACAGCACTAACAGAAAACTGCATAGGTCCTGGTCAACTCTCCCTTTAGAATTCTTTGCCCCAAGTCTACTGTCTTGGCTTTGGCGCAGGCAATTTTCTTTGATCTATCTCCCATAATGCTTTTTGGGAGTTTGTTAAAAATCAGAGCTCTTTCCAAACTCGGATTTCCTCCAGAGGAAGGATAAACAGCAGATAAGGAAGATACCAAAAGGTGTGTTACAAAATCACTGTAATCTTTTGGGAGTAACCTCTTATCAATCCACTAGACCAGGTAAGTAATTTAGGCTCTTACCCTTTCTACAGCAGGGTAAATGCTAGACTTTCTCCTAAGCAGAATGGGTCAAGGAAACAGCGGAATGAAGAAATAACTGTATTTGACCTGCCCCCAAACATCTTTGTGTTCTGGCCAAGCCACATGCTTATGGTTAGCCAGAAACCTTATAATAATCGAGTCCTGCACATGCTGTTCTTCACTTGAAAAGTCTTTTACTGGCTCCTCCACAGGCTAACTACTTCATTCTCTAAGACATCACCTCTTGGAGGAAATCCTTTCACTCTTCCACCCCCTCCTCTTTTCCCCAGTTTCAGGTGCTCTTCCTATGCACAGTCACAGTGAGCTCTGAAAACCACTCTCAAGGATGCTCAGCCGAGTGTATTTGTCTTTTTGTGTTGTTCTTTATGTACTCGACATACAAGCACCTTAACACAAATGTAATTTGCCAATATTTTCTCATATTCAGTGGGTTGTCTTTTCAGTTTTTTGATGAGTCCTTTGAAACACAGAAGTTTTTAATTTTGGTAATGTCGGATTTATTACTCAGTGTTTTGCTCGTGCCTTTGGTGTCCTATCTAAGAATTCTACGACCACAAGAATTTGGTATCAAAGCTAAGACCACAAAAATTAGCTCCTTGTTTTTTTCCTATGCAATTTATAGCTTTGTTCTTATATTTAGAACGAAATATCCATTTTAAGTTATTTTTGTATGTGGTTTGAAGTAGAGGTCTAATTTCAATATTTTGCATATGGTTTTTCAGTTGTCCTGGCACCATTTGTTGAAAAGTCTATTTTGTCCCCATTGAATGGTCTTGGTATCCTTGTTGAAAACCCATTGACAATATGGCTGTATTTCTGGATTACCAATTTTATTTTATTGATCTATATGTGTTCCCTTATGCAAATACCACGCTTCTGTCTTGATTAATGAAATTTTATAGTAAGTTTTGAAACTACTGAGTCCTCCAACTTTATTCCTTTACATGAGTGTTTTGCTACTCTGGGTCCCTTGAGTTTCCATATGACTTTTCTAATCAGCTTATCTATTTTAACAATGAAACCACCTGGGATTTTAATAGAGGTTGCATTGAATCTATAGATTAATTTGGAAAATACTGCCATCTAATTAATATTAAAGTCTTCTGATCTAGGAACATAAAATGCTTCTCACCTACTTGTTTTGTTGTTGTTAAGTGTCACTGACTTAGTTCCAACTCATAGTAACTCTATACAGAATTTCCAAGGGGTAGCTGGTGGGTTTGAACTGCCGACCATGCAGTTAGCAATCCAGTGCTTAGCCTACAGTGCCACACCAGGATGTTCATTTACTTAGATCTTCTTTATTTCAACAATGTAGTTTTCAAAGTATAAGTTTTATACTTTCTTTGCTAAGAGGTCCTGGTGGTGCTCATCTGCCATCAGCCGTGGCAGTCTGCTTCTCAAAAAATTACAGTCTTGAAAGCCCAACTTCTCCCAACAGGGTTGCTATGAGTCAGAATCCACTCAATAGCAATACATTTTGTGCTACTATTAAATTTTTTTCTAAGCATTTTAACCTTTTATCGCAAATGGGACTTCAATTTCATTTTCAGATTGCTCATTGTTATTATAAAGAAATACAGATTTCTGTATATTAATGTTATGGCCTTCGACCTTGTCAAACTCATTTATGAGTTTTAACAGTTGTTTAGCAGATTCCTTAGGATTTTCTATATATAAGATCATGTTATCAACAAATACAGATAGTTTTACTTCTAATCTGTATTCCTTTCATAGGTCCTGGCTTACAACAAATATTCAAGTTACAAAGATCCACACTTTAAAGCCATCTGGTTTTTTGTTTTGTTTTAGCTTAGTTTTTTTTTTTGTTACCACAGACAATGTTGCAGAACATAATTTACTGATGCTATCCTTCTCAGATGTCTATATGTACTGTTTCCAAGACCCAAGGCAAATAAAGATGAGATTCATTAAGATAATAAAAGGCAAGAAACAATGAAAACTTTAAAAAAATTAAATAAAAGAGGTATTCGACTTACACCAAAACCGACTTTAACTGACACATCAGAATGGAAGCCTGTTGTAAGATGGTGACTATCTGTATTTCATTTTCTTTTGTATATGCCTGCTAGAACTTTAACATTGAATCATTGTTGTTCAGTGCAGTTGAGTGGGTTCCAATTCAGAGCAATCCGGTATAAGGTTTCCAAGGAGTGGCTGGTGAGTTTGAACCACCGACCTTGAAGTTCAAATCAGCCTTGTGGAACAGTGCATTATCCTACAGCACCACATCAGGAAAACTGATAGTAGTGGCAAAAGCATTCTGTCATTCAACATTAAATATGATAGTGCTGCTGTTCAGTGCCACTGATTTGGTTTCAAGTCTTAGCAGCTCTATGTACAACACACGAAACAATGCCCGGTCCTGCACCATCCTCTCAATTGTTATTATGTTTGAGCCCATTGCAGAAGCCACTGTATCAATCCAGATCCTTGGGGATTTTTCTCTCTTTCCTTGACCCTCTACTCTTTTAGGGACTGGTCCCTCCTGACAGTATACCTAAAGTCCACGAAATCTCACCATTGTCGTTTCTAAGGAACATTCTGCTTATACTTCTTCCAGGACAGATTTGTTTGTTCTTCTGGCAGTCCATGGTACTTCAAACGATCTTTGCCAACACCATAACTCAAATGCATCTATTCTTCTACACTCTTCCTTACTCATTGTCCAACTTTCAAATGCATATGAGGCAACTGAAAATACTATGGCTTCAGTCAGGCAAACCCTAGTCCTCAGATTGACATCTTCGCTTTTTTAACTATTTAAAAGGTCTTTTGCAGTAGAGATTTGCCTAAAGCAAATCATTTGATTTCTTAACTGTTGCTTCCAAGAGTGTTGACTTGTGGATTCAAGCAAAATGAAGTCTTTGACAACTTCAATCTTTTCTCCATTTATGATGATGCTATTTATTGGTCCATTTGGGAGGATTTTTGGTGGTTGGTTTTCTTTTACACTGAGGTGCAATCCAAACTGAAGGCTGTAGTCTTTTATCTTCATCAGTAAGTATTTTAAGTCCTATGTGCTTTCCAGAAAACAATGTTGTATCATCTGCATATCCCAGGTTGTTAATCAGTCATCTAATCCTGATGCCACTTGCTTCTTCAAATAACCCAGTTTCTTAGATTATCTGCTCAGCATACAGACTGAATAAATATAGTGAAAGGATACAACCCTGACGTACACCTTTCCTGATTTTAAACCATTCACTATCCCCTTATTCAGTTTGAATGCCTGTCTCTTGTTCTATGTACAGATTCCTAATGAGCACAAATAAGTGTTCTGGAATACTCATTCTTCACAATGTTATTCTTAGTTTGTTAATATGCACACAGTCAAATGCCTTTACACAGTCAACAGAGCACAAGCAAATATCTATCTGGTATCCTCTGTTTACAGCTAAAAAAACATCTGATGTCAGCAATGATATTCCTCTTTCTACATCCTCTTCTGAATTTCTGGCAGCTTCCAATAATGTGCTGCCGTAGTTGTTTTCTAATCACCTTCAGCAAAATTTTATTTGCATGTCATATCATTGATACAGTTCAATGACTTCCACGTTCCACTGGGTCATTATCACTCTTTGGAATGGGCACAAATATGGATCTCTTCCAATTGATTGGTCAGGTAGTCGGTCTTTCAAATTTCTTAGCATAGATGAGTGAGCACATGCAGTGTTGCTTGAGCTGGTTAGTTTTCTGAAACACTTTGATTTGTATACCACCAATTCTAGGAGTCTTGTTTTTCACCAATGCCTTCAGTGAAGATTGGGCTTCTTCCTTCAGTACTATGGGTTCTTGACCATGTGCTACCTCTTAAAATGTACCAATTATTTTTGGTACAGTGACTCTGTATGTTCGTTCCATCTTCTTTAAGTATGATGTTTGTTGTGAGCTTCTGTACATGCCCTTTACCACTCTGAGGAAGTCCTCTTCCATTCCTTGATTGCTGAGTGTTTTTATCAGAAGGGGTGCTGCATTTTGTCAAATATTTTTTCTATGTCTATTGAGATGATCATATAGTGTTCTGTCCTTTATTCCACTAATTTTGTTTTGTTTTTGTTATGTGCTATGTTGTATAGTCGGTTCCGTCTCACAGTAATCCTATATAGGGGTTGTGCGACTGGTGGGTCTGAATTGCCAACACTGCGGTTAGCAGTCCAGTGATTATCCTACAGCGCCACACCAGGCTCATTCTACCGATATGGTTGGTTTATTATATTAACTGATTTTCAGATGTTAAACCAGCCTTGCATTTCTGGGATTAATCCCAGTTGGTTCCGGTGTGTAATTCTTTTTCTGTATTTCTGGGTTCCGCTTGCTAGTGGTTTGTTGAGGTTTCTTCCATCAAAGGCATACAAATCAGAAGTCTGTAGTTTTCTTGTGATGTGTTCTGCTTTGGTATCAGGGCAAAACTGGCCTCACAGTATTAGTTGGGAAGTGTTCCCTCCTCTGGTTTTCTGAAGGAGTTTGTTAAGAATTGGTATTACTTTTTTAAACGTATGGTAGAATTCAGCAGGGATGTCATCTGGGCCTTGGCTTTTCTTGTAGGTATTTTTATATTCACTAATTCAGTCTCTTCACTTGTTAAGGACCTATTCAGAATCTCTACTTATTAAATCAGTTTCAGGGTTTCATGCTTTTCTAGAGTTTGTTCATTTCATCTCAGTTATCTCATTTGTAGTCATACACTGGTTCATAGTATATTCCTGTAATCTTTTTTCATTTCTTTATGGTTGATAGAAATACCTTCTTTCATTTCTGATTTTAGTAACTAGAACCTTCCCATGCACGCAGCCACATTCTTTCTCTCTCTCTTCTTCGGTCAGTCCAACTAAAGATTTGTCAGGTTTGTTTAGTTTTACATAGAACCAAATTTTGGTTTTACTTATTTCCTCTACTGCTTTCTGAGTCTGCTCTTCTTTACCCTATGTATTACGGTGGCAGGTTAGGTTCTTGATTTGAGATCTTTCTTCTTGTATAATGTAGGTGTTTATAGTCATACATTTCTTTCTCAGCCCTAATTTTTCTGTATGCCATAAGTTTTCGCATGTGTCTTTAATTCTCATTCTTCTCAATGCATATTATCATTTCTCTTGTGATTTTTTTCTTTGACCCATTCCTATTTAGGGTAGTGTTGTTTAATTTCCATACATCTGTGTATTTTCTAAATTTCTTTTTGATGTTAATTTCTAGTTTCATTACATTGTGATCAGAGAACCAATTTTGTATGGCTTCAATCACGTTTTACTCATTGAAGTTTGCCTTATAGCCTAGCATGTTGTCAATCTTGCAGAATATTCCATGTGCACTTGAGAAGATTATAGAATTGGCTATTTGATCAAATGCTATATAGATATCTATTAGGCCTACTGGTTTATAGTGTTGTTCACAATCTTATATTTCTTAGTTGATCTTCTGTCCAATATTTCTATTAATTAAAAACTATTGATGTGACCAAGAATTATTGTTAAATTGTCTATTTCTCCCTTTAAATTCTATCAGTTTTTGCATTTTAGAGGCTCTGTTTTTATTTATGTTTGTAAAATCTGTATTAAAATATATATACTTCCTTTCACACAAATTATTTACAATGAAATTTGCTCAAACACTTGAAACAAGATAAAACATCATAAAATTTTAACAGAGAATGATAACATTTTAAAATAAAAAACTAATTAATATTCCCTAAAAAAGATACAAGATAATTTTTAATTAACCTGATTTTAACAAAATATTTTTAGAGAATGGGTTATAATCGTTACCTCTAGATGCTAAATCTGTATCTAATCAAAACAGAGGAGGCTCTGTTTTCAGATGTATATAGGCATAACTGTTATATCATCTTGATGGAGTGACCCTTCATCATTATAAAATGCTCCTTTTTAGTTCTACTAACATATTTTGTTTTACAATTTGTCTAATATTAGTATAGCTTACAAGAGCTTTCTTGTGGTTGCTGTTTTCCATGACACAGCTTTTTCAGTGTTTTTACCTATTTGTATCTTTGTATCTGAAGTATGTCTCCGACAGACAGCATCTGTTGTTGTTGTTGTTAGGTACCATTGAGTTGGTGCTCACTCACAGTGACCTTATGCACAACATAACAAAGCAAAGCCCAGTCCTGCACCATCCTTACAATTGTTACACTGAGTTCACTGCTGCAGTCACTACGGCAATCCATATTGTTGGGGGTCTTCCTCTGTTTTGGTGACCCTCCACTTTACTAAGCAGGATGGTCCCTCCTGTTGTACATGAGACGAAGTCTCACTACCCTCTCTTCCAAGGAACATTCTTCTTCCAAGACAGATTTATTTGGTTTTCTGGTAGTCCTTTGTACTTTTGACATTCTTTGCCAACCCCACAATTCAATGAATCAGTTATTGTCTTCGTTATTCACTGTCCAGCTTAAACATGCAACTGAAAATATCATGGCTTGGTTCAGGTACACCTTTGTTGTTGTTAAGGGCCATCGAATCAGTTCTGACTCACAGCAACTTTGTATAGGGTTTCTAAGGCTTTAAATCTTTGTGGAAGCAGAAAGTCTCATCTTTATCCCTGAGGTACACCCTTAGAACTTTTCTAAAAGACAACATATAGATGGATCTTTTTAAAAATCTAATCTGATCTGGTGAAAGGGGCTGGCAGACGATGCTGATAGGATTTTACGATTCAGTTGTGAGTAATTGTTAGCAGGATGAATTGTGATTGCCACAACTGTAAGTGTAGATGTGTAACTAAAAGGGGGGAGTAGTTAATCTTTCATTTCAGGACCAGACAATCCCAGGACTATCAAGAAGAGCATGAGTGGAGCCTGAGATCCTACCTATAAAAGTGGTGACAGCAGAGACAGTGGCAGAGGCTATGGCATAGAGAGATTCAGCAGCTGTGAGCTCTAGGCCCATGGATTGAGTACGTTTGTGTGCATGCAGGCAGGAGGCTGACTGGCAGAATGGGTCCTTTGGACTTTAAATAAATATATAGTTTTGTTTTGTATGTGTACATCAAATATTTTTGCTTTGTTCATTTGCGAAATATAAGATGTAAAAAGGAAGGCACAGGGAGGCAGCAGGATAACTGTTGTTGCAGGGAGGGGACTGTAATCATTGAGAGGAAACAAAGCATATCATTTGTTGAATGTAAAGCTGATGATCTTTTCTGTTAGCCTTCACTCAATTCACAATAAAGAGTTTAAAAAAAGAAAAGAAACCTAATCTGATAATCTCTAAATTCTGACTGAATTATTTAATCTAGCACATTTATACTGGATTTACATCTGCCATTTTACTTTTTGTTTTTTATTATTTTTTTTGTTGTTCCTCTATTCTCCCTTTACTGCTTTTATTTTATATCCATTGAAGAACTTTTTCCCATTGAAGAACTTAGCAGGTCTTGCTTAGCTTCTGCAATCACACGAGATCAGGCACATCCAATGTGGTATGGCTGTAATCCAGTAAAACTTTCTATTTAATGCTTTTTTTTTTACTATTTTTTCTATATTCTTCATTTTCTTAACATTCTCTCTATGGTTTACCAGAATCTTAACTACTTCCTATTTTTACCGTATTAGTTAACAGTTAGGTACAAAATGTTATTCCTACATAGCTCTATTTCCTCTTCCCCTACCTTCTGTTATTGTTATATACATATATGACCTCTGCATCTGTTACAAACCCAAGGACACTTGTTGCAATTATCATTCTTTTGTTTTCTAATGTCAATTTTTTAATGTGGTAAAATATATTTAACATAAAATTTTAAGTGTATAGTTCATTGGCATAAATACATTTACAATGCCGAGCAACTCTTTCCAGAATATTTTATCACCCCAAGAGAAACTCTGTATCTATTAAGCAACAATTCCCCACTACTCCCCATTCTCTCCTGTTCCTGGTAATCTCTGCTCTACTTTGTGTTTCTGAAAATTTGCCTATTTTAGATATTTCAAATAAGTGGGATCATACAATATTATGTCTTTTTGTATCTATCTCCTTTCACTTAGCAGACTGTTTCCAAGGTTCATCCATGTCGGCGCCTTGGAAGCTAAATGAACCTCAGAAACTACTGCCCTGAGATAAACTTTAAACTTTAAACCCAAACTATCCCCTGAAGTCTTCTTAGAACCAAATAACCATTTAGCTGGACTAGTAAATAATAGCTGCTTTGAAAACTATGCTCTTTTAAGATCTATCTTATGGTATCAAATTGACAACAGCAACTCCAACAGGAGCCTTAGAGGGCACTGAGTTTAGGGGCGCTCGAATACTGGTAATGCACTGAAGGATAATGTGCTGGACCGCAAGGGCATTTTGAGCTTCAAGGTCGGTGGTTCAAACTCACCAGTGGATCCTCAGAAACCCTACGTAGGATCCCTATGAGTCGGAACTGACTCAATGGCACTTAACAACAACAATATCCAGAAAAGGAGGATTACAACTCAAAGAATGTAATCAGTGTACATGAGCTGTACATATAGTAAGTGTATTAGTGTATGTTCTATTGTGTATATTGTCAACAACAAAATTAATGATATATTAAAAAACACTTGTGGGCACATTCTGGTTCCTTGGCTTTACTTGGCACTTACACCCATGTGTTTCTCTGTATCTTGCCTCTTCAGAAGTGCACTCGGCTAGTTTTACAGTTACTTATGTTTGATGAAAGGCAGTAAGTGCCACGTGTCTGCCTGGGGGAACTTCTGACTGTTAAACACATTATCTACTTCATCTTTTCTAAAACCAAAGAAAGGGAATAGCTTCCAGAGAAAAACAAAGGAAAGAAAGAAAAGAAAACATTCTTTAACTTCTTTGCAGTAAGATACAATCCTGCAGTCTGTTCTCAGGAGTTCCATCCCTCCGGGACTCTCCTTACCCGAAATGGAGTGTTGATTCGGCTTGTCAGAGTGTCCAGTATATGGACATTCTCATGTTGGTGCAATAGGATAAAACGGAGGAAGATCTCAAGTAGTGCTGGCTCGGAAACACTACGCAGGAAAAGATCCAGATACGCAGTTGTGGTCATGACCTCTTCCACGGTCACCTGTAAGCACAGAATGAGCACAGGTGAGCACACCCATGATGATGTAACACATGCCCCCAATGACTCTGGGTCTCACGGCATGACCCCATCAAGGGAAAAACATGCCTTTCATGAGAACACACTTTTGATCTCCACTTGGAGCCCACAGCCTATTCCCATTCCACACCTCATACTGCTCCCACCCTGGAATTCAGTCAGGGAAAAGCCAAGGCATAAACAAACAATTCAAGTTTTCCAACAAGTCTGATCATTAAATGCTGTTCAAATAGCACAAAGACTTGAGTGTATAATCATAAAAGGAAAGGGAAAAAAAAAAGAGATAATGAAAAGTATTTACATGGTCAGTAAAGGATTAATTAGAGAGTTCGGTATATAATTTTGTTCTTTATCAAGTCATTAAATAAACATTGACTAGCACCTGCATGTACAAGGAGCTGGAAGCATCAGAACACTCTGTGTATCAGTAAGATGGGTTTTATATATGTGATCTAACAAACAAAATCATAACATAATAAATGACAAATGAGAGGGCAGACAACTAGTGCTACAGATGGTCAGACATGTTTCTGGAGAGTTGCAAGTCAAATTTTATAATTAAATAATATATATAATGTGTTATTTAGAAAGTGCTGTAAAAGCTTCCTAGGAAGCCCTGGGTGACTGATATGACTAAATGTTTGGCTACCAGCCAAAATGTTGGCAGTTTGAACCCACCCAGAGGTATCTTTGAAAACAGACCTTGAAAACTGTAAGCAGTTCCACTCTGCACACATAGGGTAGGAATCAACTCCATGGGACCTAACAACAAGAGCCTACTGCTAACATAGTGTGACTTGTCTACAATGCTAGTTAGTATCTTCTATTGAGTATGATTTCCTCATGCAGTAAAAACAACTATCTTTCAGGGAACATAATCTGAAGAGTCCAGTTTTTCAGAGAACTGAGACTGTATCCCTTCAAACATCAAATTTTGTTGCAGACCGTGTAAGACGAGTCAGAGGTTCGAGGCCCTCTAG